TATATATATCTAAAGCACCAGAATTTCTTATGTTCGGTTTCAAGCATCCAGAAGATCATTTGTAGCCACACAGAGTGTGAAAACGTGAAAAATAAATAAAGGTTTCACAACAGAATGAAATCACAATTAAAACAGAACATAATCACAAAAATTAACAAATAAGGGTGAGTGTCCACAACTATCCGAAGAGTGGCCGTTTTAACCCTAAACATGAGTGTCAGTACATGTATTCGGTTTTGGTGGAGACACATAACGCATTTATTTTATTTTTTTTAAAGGTAGGAACAACATCAAATTAAATTGACATTACGATAAACACAAAAAATAGAAAACACATCAGAACAATAACAAGAAAATAAAATAACACACCAGCACGTTAAAACATAACAAAGAGAGAAAAATAAAAGAGAAATAAATAGCAATGTAATGTACAAGACTTTTTTCACATGAAAATTACAAATAAACGTGGGGTCAACAAGTAAGAAAGAGAAGAAGTGAAGCGGAAGTGAAAATAAATTTTCTTTTTAAAAGTAAAAAGATTCGGTTGTTGTTTTTTTATACCCGTTTTTTTTCCGATGTTTTATTCCCGGGCGGTGCGGTTTTTGGAAAATGCCAAAAATCGTGGCCGCGATTCGCGGGTCGCGGCCGAGACAAACAGATGCTAGAGAGACTGCCTTCTCTGGATTTTCTGCTCACGTAACAGTGTTCCGACACCACAAGTTCTGTAAAGTTTAAGCAGATTTTGAAATCTGTTTCTCCATTTCTTTACCAGATAATGATTTTTTTAATATATTTTTTTATAGTAGAGGGTTTTACAGCGCTTGCAACTGCATAAGGTCATATGAGCGCCAAGGGGTGGGTGTCAACAGAGAAGTCTTTACAGGCAATCAGACTTACTCTGCTCACCTCTCTAGCTTCAACAGCACAAGGTCTGCTTCAACTATCAAGGCACCCCGGAAATAGCAGGTCACAAGAGAGTGACAAACATAAAAAAGAAGTAGAGGAAAATGACAATAGTAAGGATTAGGAAAGAAAAAGCAGCAGTTCCCTGTTGTAGATCAAGCACAGTTATGAGCGTGACATGAATCAGCCCATTTACAATTCTACTGTGCTTGAACGAGAAAAGTCCCCCCTTTGGGAAAGGCCTAAGGACACTTCAAGTCAGTGGCACTGCCCCGGAGGGCAACCGATTTTTTAAAAACACACACACACAAAAGAAAGAATAATATGATCATATTATTCTGAAAGAGAAATGAAAGTTCATGTCCGAGCGAATCACAAGGGGTACCGTTTTATTTTATTTTTTATCATATAAAATCACACATTAACTACGCAAAAACGGAATTTGTTCACACATGTCAAGCATTGCATGCTGTCTCAAGTTAGGCAAACAAATATTTTGACAATAAAATTGTGAGCTTCATTTCTGAGACAACAAATTTCTAAATGAGATATAATAAAAGATTTCAATTTTTAAAACAAAAAAACAAATACACTAAAAAAGATGTACATGCTAAAAAACTGATTTGATTTCGGGATCAAATGTGGGATTGTCTTGTTGGTCTGAAGATAATCTTTAAAATGAGATGTTAAATTCGTTTCTAGGATTATCAGGTGGTCAGAAATGAGAATGGAAAGTGATACAAAAATTACCAGAATCAAGTTACATACGAATGGCGGTGGGCATCGGTATGGTCAGGGTTGTTCAGCACAGGAGTGGCTCACTGACACTGATTTATTACCTTCGGGGTTTGGTCAGCAACTAAAGTACCACTTTCAGCGGGATTTTAATAGCCATACAAGAATCAAGATATTGCGTACATTTGAGGCACATTCAGAAAAAGCAAGTACAGAAACTCACCACAGAAGTTACAGGCTGAAATACTTCAGTGTCTTCAGTATGAGAGTTATCGAAGCCGCCTGCATCTTCAGTATTTAGCTGACGATGAAGTCCTGTAGATTTCACAATAATTTTTTATTTGCATGTTATTTTTTCTGGTATTAGTTAACAGAAACACATCCCCCCCTTAACCATATTACTGTCAGTGGTAATTTTACACTGAGTCAAGGGAAAGTCTAAGGAACAAGGATTGCACCTTTAGATTAAAGAAATTGGTACATATGATAAATACAAAGACCAGAAAACGATATATATTCGGACTGCTCTTTGAAAAAGCTATAACATACACGAAACACCTAAAAAAACAGCATAAAAAAAGTTCTAATAACTACAGGAGGTCCTTCTTTTTAAAACTAGTGCACTTTCATTCAGCGTCAGTATTTCCGAGGTTCACGAAGACGAGGACCTGACGAAGCCATTTTCACTGACTTGCAGAGTCGCTGCTGCCGGCAGTTATAAAATACAGTGGAACTCGGATTCAACGAGCTCCGGTTCAACGAAAACTCGGATTAAACGAGAGGATATGGATTCCCCATAATTTTCTTCTTTAAAATCAATTTAAAAAATAACCCGGATTCAACGACCACTTAAATCAGCAAGCTCGGATTCAGTGAGGTCGTTTCCATGGTGAACAGCCCCCGCAGACGTGGCTTCGCTCATTTTTCTCCCACAACTAACTTCGTATTAGTATAGGGTTTTACCGCGCTCGCAACTGTTAAGGTCATATGAGCGCGCGAAACACAAGTTGTTTACTTTCGCAAAAGTTCGCTGCACGATTGGTTAACTAATTGATTCTAAAATGCTAAATTGTTAAAATATTAAAATTCAGTGTAAATATATTTGTGATTTAAAACAGCTCTTATAGGTAACAATAAAAATTTTAAATAGTACGTTTTCATTTTACAATTTATCATTAAGGCCAATGGCCTTCATAAAATTCAAAATTTTGCTGGGAACAACGATGGAAAAATTATCTTGCAATTTCTTGCATTTATAATATTTCCTTCTGATCTCTCCAAAGTCTAGACATTCAGACAAGATGTGTCTAATGGTA